GAGGCAACGCGCGGCCGGGCTCCCCCGTGGGTGGCCTGGGGGGCTCGGCGGGGCTGGTCGAATCGGGCTAAAAGTAAATGAATTGGGCTAAAAGTAAACGCGTAATCTCGTTCCGAGGGGCAGAGCAGGCACTCCTGTAAAGCAAGCATCCATCTCATGGGTTATGGCCACTCCAGGAGCGTTTTTATTTCACTGTGGTGTGGGCATCTTAACTGAGTTTCAGGACGGCAGCCCAAATTGCATGGGGGCTTCGCTCAGGTCATGGTTAAATCCTAACTCCTTACCGAAGTCCCCTGCATCACCCTCTCCCTCAAACCAGCAGGGCTGGGGCCACCCTTATACTTGAGGCACCAGGTGACATTGATGTGAGAAATGACATTTCTAAAGCGGGTGCCTCGCTTGGCCCCAAAGGACACTGTGGGGAGACCCACAGTGGGGGGGGACATTTCTGCTCTACCAAATTTGCCTTCATTTGGCACATGCACATGTGTCTGTGCAACCTCAGGATACAAAAGTGAGGCTCATGCAGGGAGATTCAGTGCAAGTTTACCAAAGCTGGAGTTTTCTTGTTTTATTGCAAAGCAGAATCCAGAACTCTGTTACCTGCATGGAAATACTGTGCTTAAACCCCACATGCATCCCTCTTTTCAAACCAAATTATCAGTTAGGTCCAAGGGTATCCCAGGAGGATTTTTCTACCTCCTCTCCTATCCATCAATGGGACACTTTAAGATATTGCCATGTATTTATACCTTTATAAGTATGCATTCACATAATCTTTTAAGACTCAATTTCTTCTGGCTACTTAAACATGCCAAATCTGAACTTAAAACTGCTTGCTTCTTTTACTGTATGACTTTTTTAAACACATTTGTATTCCAGTATATTTAGTGTATGTATTTATCCAGTTAAACACATTTTTTCTCTTTTTGTTGAAACAATCACAAATATTTTCTTGATATATTCTGTGCTTATAGCTAGAAGTAAACAGAAGTTGAGTTTAAATCGGGGTGATGATTTTTGGGGGGATACTTAGCTATGTAAGCTGAGAACAATCACACAGATCTTTTTAGTTCACCAATGGCATATTCTTCACAATTTTCTGAAAATCGTGCTATAGCGTAGTATGGTGGATAGCTTGAGGGTAAATTAGGGTTCCAAGGGCTCATGATTGGTAGGTGTGTGTTTAAATGAAACACAAAGTGCAAATAGATTTATATTTATATTAGAAAAATAATAACTTGGAATGCATTAGTGAATTTAATAATATATACCATATGCTAATGAGCACTTTATACTTTTGAGGTGATGCAATTTATGTTCTTTTATTCAAGAGAACCAGAAAGATTAATATAAGAATTAAAATTTCATCCAAATATTGTTTCATAAAGAACAACTTAAGTAAAAACTGTTGGTTTGTATGATTTCTCAAGCAGCCTCAATTCCTTTAGTTTGGTCTTCGACACCATGCTCAAAAGCATCAGCTATAATGAGAATAGTGTCTAAATAAGCGAAACTGCCAGGGGTTACTACTATGTGTCAATAGTACTTATGCACCTAAAAGGCTGTCTTAAATTATTTCCTTTAGATGTTAAAATACTTTCGAAAAAAGTCGTGCCAGAGAGTTCATTGCTACAAAATGTTTAAAAAGTGTCAGCCATGCCTAGGCTGAAACAGAAGGTGGGAAAACAGGGTAGAGAGGCTTGTAGGCCTCCCCCAGCAGTGTTTTTGGAGCAAGATTCGCTTCCGATTAGAACCTTGCCAGTGTGGATAAGTATGAGCTCCTGTTTCTATGGAAATGAGGAATGTAACCAAGTAACGCTGTGTGTGTGTGTGTCTGGTTCCAAGGAATCAATGGAAACACTTTCATTGACTGCAATGGTCTCTGAAACATGCAAATGTTCCATAGTAGTTCAACAAATAACTTTTTTTGATACAGATGCTCTTGGGCAGGGCTAGGAAAGCTTGGCAGTCTAAGCATCTATAGATGTCAATGAACGTGCTGCCTCCTCCCATATTGACCCCTTAGACTTGGCTTTAGTGCAATGTTAGGTAGAACTCTAGTTAGCTTCAAGAAGACTGCAGATGTTGAGGAACAGCTCAACTTCTACTCTCTGGCTTAAGCCTAGTTATTTTTGAGACATGTTTACTGTCCTAGTAGATGAAATAGTAAGCATAGGTTAGTTTCAGTGACAATTCCTTAAGGACCCTGTTGAGCAGAAATGCCATTAAAATGCACTTCACAAAAGCAAGTGTCTCATTGTTTGATCTTCTGTTTAATATCTGTGAGCCTGAGCTGTGCAAAGAAGAAAGACAGCATTTTGCTTCGAGAGCATGACTGTACAGAAAACCTATTAAGTCCTACTTCTTATTCTGAACTAATCTTAAACAAAGCTCTAGAATGATTCCAGGGAGTCTTGTGAACTTGGAGGTGTTGTTCTTCATATGGACACGTATGTGGATGTTGTGGGTTTGGAGGCCGTTTCAGCTCTATTTTTCTTCAAAATATACTTACCATCTTCATAACTTTCTCTGAAGCCTTTGCCCATTGACTGTATTTTTTTTTTTTTTTTTACCAGCATAATCTCTCTAATCTCCTATGGCATTCTGTAAGATTATAGTTGTGTGTACTGATAGTTATAAAGCTAATGTCTTAAATCTCTAAATTATATATATTTTTTTTCTGTCAATGCCCTACAGATCATCTTATAGTAAGGTGAGATGAGAATGCTTTTTAAAGCCTTACCTTGGTGACTTCTAAATTAAGAACCTCATCATTCACAAGTTCTGTAGTCTTCCACTGACTTGTACAGATGAAATCTGTGAACCGTATTGTTTATTCTCCCTTTGTGCTCTTTTGTGTGTAGAACATTTATTTATATGAAATTAAATATCTTTGAAACACTTCTGTCTCATTGGGTGACTCTCCCATTAGAGAATCTTTTCTTACTGGTAATCCGACATTGCATTTCTAGTTTGAAAGTAAGAGGAAACTTAAACCTTCCATTAGTTTAGTATTAAATATTGCCCCTTTATGTCTAAGTGTTTGTATATCAAGTGAAATTTTCCACATTCCATGGGAAAAGAGACTACAATGTTTTTCTGATTTTTTTTTTGGGGGGGGGCAATATTTTATTTCTGAGATATACTGAGAAGCAAAATAACTAGTAGGAAAACTGTTATGGTAAATTATGACTGTATCTGTTGCTGTTCTAGTTTGCCATTTGAGCACCACTGTGTACAGCTGTATGCCATACAACTAATTCAGCCAATATACTCTACCAGAACACTGTTTTGTTGTTGTTGTTTGTTTGTTTTTTTGTTTGTTTGCTTTCTTTAATGTCAGTTTTAATGTCAGTATGTCCTACACCAAGAAGTTGCCCTAACAGTACTATTTGATTTGATTTGATTTGATTCAGATTTCAGACAACTGGCCAGGATATAGTCTGGATTTGTTCACTTACCCTCAGCACTACTATGGAGATCTGGAATATGTCCTCATTCCTCATGGCATTATTGTTGACAGGTATGTGTGGCTTCTGTGTTACTAAGTAAATACTTTGATCAGAATTATGATTTATTTTTTTGATAGAGCTTGTCATCCAAAATATATATGTATATATAAGAATATATAAAAATATTATACTTCTATTTATTTAATTGGCAAAGTAAAAGGTATTTAAAGTTCAGGAAGTGCTAGGATTATAGTTGCCTTTGCAGCTCTTTGCCTAATTCCATTCACCTAATTTGTGATCTGGGCACCTAATGACAATGGGCTCTCAGAGGAAAAGATCATCATCATGCAGTGAAATTGGCACTGGAATGTAGGTGTATCAAAGGGCGCATCTGAAGTTGGAAGGACAAATACCAAGTATTCTGTTCTTAATATCTGAGTTGCTCACTTGCATCCTAACTAGCTTGTGCTTTTAATATAAAAACGAGAAAAATTACATTCATTTATGTACAACTTTGACAACTCCCTAATACAAATCATTAATATGGGATAACCTAGTGATTTCATACTGCACCCCTGACTTCTACCTTTTAAACTGATGAGCACAAGAGAGAAGTGTGGAATGGACTGTTTGAATCCAGAAGCGAAGTCTGGCGGGTGGTCGGTTGTAGGAAAGCTCCCTTTCCCCACCTTATAGTAGTTCCTGTTTGTTCTCAGTGTGCATCTGATGCTGCTTTGATATTCATAGTAGTCTATCTCAGTGTTCATCCCTAGTTTTTATTTTGACACGCTGTTAAATGTCTTTTGAAAAGGTTACAAAACGGAAATGGTATTTTTTAACAGCGTATTTATTGCAAACATCTGAATTTCATGAGACATTTTCAGCCTGCGGTTTTCTACCTACCACATTTGAACAGCCGGTTGCAAGTACTGAAATTGTTGGATCTCCTTGAAAGAAGATCATTAACATCCATCATAAGAAAGAGTAGTGATTCCTCTATTTGTTTTGAAACACAAGCTTTCTTTCATTGCCTTTTCAGTTAACATTGTCTTGAATTTTTCATCTCTTCTGGTTAGGGTCAACTGACTCCTAATTCTGCTTTTTGAATAAATATGTTACAACTTAATTTCTCATAGGATTCAGTAAATATTTTTTGAAGTGAGCATTCAATGCCAGTGTCTTCTCCTGCCCCAGCAGAAAAGACTGGTTCAGTTCTGATTAAAAAGGAAACAGAGTTGAATATACTGTGATTATGAAAAAAAAAATGTAAGAAGAAGGCTCAACACCAGAAAATTCTCTTGTCTGTAGGAGTTAAACAATTAAATACAGGTTAAAAATGAAAATATTTTTGTTTAGAAATTGAAACTATTAATTTTTTATCTACTCTGGAGTTCACTGTCTTAAAATGCAGAAGTGGTCTGTGGAATGCTTCAAAATTTTAGGTCCTAAAATAATCTGAGAAAAGATATAAATAGATGAAAATTTCCAGAAGAATATTTCCTCATTTCTTAAAGAAAAAAAAAATCCTATTATTCTCAAACTTGAGATGTTAAAATATTAGTTTACTAATCTTCGTCCTTACAACAGTAAAAGGATTTATATGTTTGAGGTCAAATAAGATGATCTAGTTATATCTGCTATTTTTCAAACCTAAAAAAAAAAAGAAAAATACTTTTGATCCAAAAATTCTTCTGTAAAATTTACTTGAGTGTTACAAAACTATGAAACTGGAAGTTAAAAGAAGGGCAGCTTTTGCTAATAACTTGTGTATTATTTCCCCTTAAGAGCATATTCTTCTCTGGTACATTCAGACCAGGTAGATTTCCTTGAATTCTATGTACATATATAGAGGCAAATGGATTCCTTTATTAGAATAGGAAAGAAAAAACAACTTAAGGACAAAAAAAATCATGAAAGAAATAGCATAAATCGTAGGATCATTTAATAAACGGTATGCTATCAAAACATTCTTCATTGAAGCACTAAAGTAATTCAAAGAGACATCAAATAACATTCCAGAAAGAATGTTCACCAAAAATTGTCACCTAAGCTGTTTTTCCCCAAAACAGCAGATGACATTTGCTTTACATCCAATGTATCAAAAATCGTATTTGGTGTATGCCAGGAAGGGAAGACTGACTCAACAAACAAACAAACAAACCTCTGAAAACCACTAGTAGTGTTTAAGAATGTGGTATTTTAAAAGTTCATTTTTCCAAAAATGCCATCTCCCTTTTATGGGAGATGTGTGAATCTTTTGATTTCGTTCAGTCACATTCTTCTTGTGATGCACAACTGTCAGAGACAGATGCAGGAACCCTACACTGAGAGACCAGTATAGAAACCTACATTCCAGATTAATCTGAGCAAAGCCTTGAGTATTGCCATGGGTGTTACCTTGAGCAAGTCACTTAAGCTCATTGCACTGTTTTTCTCTGGTGTGGAATGATGATAATGTTAATTTTTTAAAAAATGTTGATTGATGCTCTATTTCTTTATAGTATTTTTTTTATATTTTTATTAAAATTGTAGGGATGCCATTTTCCAAAGCTTGTCAATACGAAATATTTCTAATGTTGCTCCTTTCTCTTTCACTTAAAGTAGCTAACATAGCAAATTGTGATTGTGCACAAATACTGTGATCTCATGTCTTCTGCAAAGTGAAGTGTAAGTCTCAATTTCTTTAAACACCTCCAACATCTCTGACATGCTTATGGATACCATATATGTTGAGAAGTGTTACTCCCTTTCCTGTGACTGGGGAATTAATGCATTTAAGGTTCATCAGTTTGATTCGCATGCCTTGCATCTTGCACCCTAATTCCTTATCACCCCACATTGTGTACTAGATCCAAAATACATTCAAAGCAAACCAAGAAAATTGAGCAGACTGTAAGTTAAGCTAGCTAATACTAATACAAGCTAAATACACTTTCTGATATTTCTTGGTAACCGAAGGGGAAGCATGTTGTGAACTTGGACGGTCAGCATCTAATGTTATTTTATCCTTAATTTTTACTTCAGGACAGAGCGATTGGCCAAAGATATTATGCAAGACATTGGAGACAATGATATTGTGGTTCTCTGTGTACTCAAAGGTGGCTACAAGTTCTGTGCTGACCTTGTGGAACACATTAAAAATCTCAGCAGAAATTCAGAGAGGTTCATCTCCATGAAAGTCGATTTTGTTAGGCTGAAAAGTTACCACGTAAGTCAACAACTTATTTATGTAGATTCTGGTTGTATTCTCATAATAGTAGACTGCAGTAGTGGGAAAATAAAATCTTTTATATTATAAGAAATTCCATGGGAAATTTTTAAAAAAAGTATTTTTTCAAAGTATTTATGTCGCTTTATACTTTATGAATAACATGAATGATGATATGAGGCATACTCAAGCTGTATTTTTCATTTAATATCTTCACTTTTGGACAGAAAATTAGTCAAATTCCCATCATATAAAATGTCTGCATGTTGTTTGTTCTCAAAATCCTCAGTAGTCCTGTCAAGTTTATTTCATATTGCTTCATTCGTCTCCCCTTATAATTACATTTAGCATAACTGCAAGATGATAAATCAATGTCTTATTGTGAATGTTTAAAGCTGATTATATTAAATGTTTCGTTCTTCATAAGATGCAGTTTACACAGTAGCAGAATATGCCACTAGATGATGATAGAGCTTTATAGTAAAATGAAGTAAGACATTGAACCAAATCTAGTACTGAGGTAAAAGTCAAGTCTGTTCATTATCTTCCAAGGAAAATATGCAATGATTAATTTGGAGAGAATGATAGTGAGAAGAATTGCCCCTTTTTAGAAAGACTGGTTACAGGTTTTGTTCGCATAAGCTATAAATTCATTTTCTGACTTTTATTCCACACCGTATGGGAAGGGAGCATTTCCAGAAGTCCATTCTCCTAGAAATGGCTAAGGGATATTTAGTGATGATAGGGCTTCTCTCTGACCATGTATGCAACCTGCTGAGTTTGGTGGCTCCTATGATAACTGCCTCCTTTCCACAGGAAGAGGTTGGCGGGTTGGCATTTCGCTTCAGAGCTCATGGCCACTTTCACAAATCCAGCCTGTCTTTTTTTCCACTATGGAAGAGAACTGCATGAGTGCCTTTTATAGACACTTGATGGGGATTTGGTCCTGCGTTCTTCTTCTGAGAACTGCTCTGGTCTGTGAAGGACTTGTGCAGTGTGATGATCACACTGTTTCTAGCTATTCTGCAGTATTACCAAATAACTAATTAATAAAGTAAAATATGCATTTGTCTCACACATAGATGTGTGGATATTGTACTTGATTTTTTTACTGTGGTAATATTAGCCCTTCTCTTTTGTAACAACACTTTGCTTATGGTAGGATTATTTACAATGTTTTTTACTTTGCACCTGGCATTCTGGGTAATGTACATGCTTTTCCTAATGGGTTGTCTTTAACCCAATGTGACGATGTCCCAATGTTGTAAAGTTACTTTCTTTGGTGACAAGACAAATATTATCAGCAATACTAGCTCATTATCAATGGGTGGCAGGTGATGTATACTGAAACAGTGTGCAAATCTGAAGAAGAAGTATACTGCATGAAGCTGCAACTACAAGGAAAACTTTGTTATGCTGGAGTAATTGCTACATCCTGGCATGTTTAATGGCTGTGGATATACTCATTTTCTCTCAGAACTATGAGGTTAAAGCACTAGCAGAAACTACCTTGCAGCTGTTTTTTAAGTAAGAAAGCCTCTTTTTTTTTTTTTGGTACAGATTTCATGTATTTAGAGACTAGACCTGTGCTTGAGTTAGTACTGAATATGAAACCTTGAACAGTCTTTGATTTCTGCCAGGCCTTGACAAGCTGGGTGAGTCTTCAGCATAAATTTAAAATAACATTAATATTGGATTCATTAAACGAGTGAGAGGTAAAAATAGCGCTAAATAGACTATGACTCCCTGGCATCCTTTGGGTTTTGGGTTATCCTTTTGTAGTGTCCTGTCCAATCGGAGGCAAAGGGATTTCTCTAAAATTTGAGCATAACTGTGATCAGAACATTTAGGTGAGTAGCCAGCTTTTATTTGTTTGAGTGACACTGTATCCCAGCCAATATGGGACCCCCAAGCCCCTCATGTGAATTTATTCTGTAATAGGGTTCCTCTCACCGTGTTTTTAACCTTTAATCACATTTACATTCTAAGATGTAAGGCTCTACTTGAAGTTTTGGAGTGCTACCCTCTCTACATCTCTCCCTCGCCTTGATCTTCCTGTTCCACCTTCTATTAAGGACTCACTGTTATTTTCTACCCATTTTTCTCTCTTTTTACCCTTTCTCGTTTTACAGACACTGTTGTTCTCAAGTTATTTCTCCTGCTTCCTTTACTAACTGTTCTCTGTTTCTTTCCTAAAGGAAGTTCTGCTGCTGTCAATATATTTCCTTCAGATATGTCTTCTTTCCCTCTCTCCCTTGGCTGTCTAAATCCAACGACTAACTTCAGCTCAAACTGGTGAGATTTTTGAACTGTCTCCTTCCAACTTCAGTACGAAAATGTTAGTCAGTTTTTGGAGGTTGTAGCTGAAAGGGGGATTTCTTGCTTTCATTGTGTTGCAAAAATCCCTCTAATTAAGATGTAAACTCTGATCTTGGCAACAGTGAAGGTACATATTAACTGGGATGTTTCAGCAAAAAAAAAGTCATATTTTGGTATCTGTCGTGCTTTTCAAGTAAAAGGAAATTGCAAATTGGTCCAGCTTTACAGGGCTCTTTGTTTTCAAATCTGCCATGTTCCAGAATTTAGACATTTGTTAAAATAAAATCTTAAGATCTGTTTTCATATTTAGCAGCTTAAAATTGGGCATATATATACATTTCTAGACTTCATGTAAAGACTCTTCACTTTAGAAGTGTAGACTCTACACTGTAGAGTCTAAAGTGTAGACTCTTTACATGAACTGTCTTTTCCATTTATTTAAGGTGGGTTTTTTTTGTTAGAATGATAATATAGTACAGAAGAGAAATAATTAAGAAATGTATACATGTAGGTAGAAAATTATAGACTCCAGTTTAGATAATAAATAAAAAATAGATGTGCCTAGTTATAAAGAAAATTTATGTCTGGATCTACAAATCGAGAAATATACTATTTACAAAGGGACACTTGGTTACATTTCAAAGTTATGTTTTGAAAACTGATTACTCAGTAAGAATGGTATTTAAAAATTATGAAATGTAAAAGAATCATGGTTGGAAAATATGTGGAGTGATATTGTCCATATAAATATGGTAAGCTCTTTGAGGAATGCAGTTTCTTGTAGACTTAGAGGTTGTGTTGCATGCTTTCTCTCAAGTAAATTTTATATATTTGAATGACTATCAGAAAAATGAAAATAACAAGATTAATTAAGTGGGGATTCCATTAGAGACTATGTGATGACTTTTCAAGCTTCTACCACACCAGACAAATTAGAAGCAAGGTGCAAGGTGACAGTTATAAAAGGGGACTTTTAAGAAACAAACAGATATTAAAGTAGCATGAAGACTTAAGGGCAAAGGTCAGGAAGTAGGTGAAGGAGAAAACAATATCCAGAGATGGTGATTTGAATGAGGAGCAGCTTAGTTTAAGAGGCAGAAAGGAGAAAAGATTCTTTTTTGAATGGACTGGTGAGCAGCAGGGCAACAAGTTTTGTGAATAGACGAGGAAGCACCACAGGACTCCTCAGGTGAAGTACAGTGAGAGCGTCGAGAAGCTACATCTGAGATTTAGGGGGAAAAGTGTATATCCTGGAAACACTAATGTAAGAGCTGAGAGGATTTGACAGCTTCTTATATAGTAAGTTGTAAGAGACTGGGTTTGAATATAGCACAGGTCAGGTACAGTGGAATTAATTTAAGAGATTTTTGCCTTTAAAGCTGGAAGAATAAAATTGAATATATTAATTTTTCATCATAGTAATTTTTTTTCCTGAGTGGTAGCTCATCCACAATGAATCAGAGCTCTGAAATTGTATAGAAGATGACAGCTCGGGAAGTTCACAGAAGAACTTGAAAATGAAAAAGAATGTTTGAAGATGAGGGAAATAGGGAGTGAACAAAAAAATGAAAGAAGATGGTTTGTAGAAAGAGAAGGGCTGAAGGAAGTCTCTTTTATTAAAAGACCATAGTACGAGATCACCCAAATCTTAGACTTTGTGTAAGCTGATAGAGCAGGAAGTGAATGTGAATGTGATGTGATGTGTATCGGTTTCCTCTGTAAAGCATATTCTTGTTTTCATGCAGAGGAATAGAGTGTTGCTTCTCTTTGCTAAGCAAGGAAGAGATCATTTAAGATGAACTAATACAGACAAAAGTTGAGTTAGACCTTGAGACAGGAGAGGACATTCTGCCTTGTCAAGTCTAATCCCCTGCGAAAAGCTGCAGCAACATTACTTTGTCCTTTTCCAAGGCAAATGTGATCTTTAAACCAAAGCTCAGTTTTTAAAATGGAATTGGAAAAATTCAGCAGAGGAGCAGAGGAATTATACGGAGTGTGTAGACTTTCTTGAGGAGTTCTCAGCAACATATCAGTAGAAAAGAAAGTAAATGGGTGAGAATTAACATTCGTTAGTGGACTTTGATGGAAGCTAAAAATTGAATTATGCAAAGAATTGTGACTGAAACTGGAGGTTGGTATGACAGAGAGAAAAGAAAGACATATTTTTATTAGGCAGACCAAAATGCTTTCTCTGTGCATAGTTACTTGTTCTTGTGAAAATTCTAGTATTCCCATAACATTATCCATAGCTATCTACTGCTTGCAATGCACACAAAATTATTAAAAAAAAAAAAGTGAATTTGGGGGAAGGGCAAGTGAATCTCAGGATCACATTTTTTGCAGTGAAAATCATGGTGAATTAATCTACCAGTGAGATTGAGAGAGTTTTGCTTTTTCTTAATTTTTTTCTCTTAAGAAGTTTTGCTTTTTTCTTAAGACTTCTATGATTTCTTTGGTTATTCTTGTATGGACTAAAATGCCAGAAAACAAGCAATATCTGTGTTATCTGTAACTCTACACATCTGAAAAGAGGATAGCAGAAGAACTGTGGTATTCAGATTGTATCTCTTCTGTTCATTGGAATAGAATGGTACATTCCATTTTGAGTGCAGATTATTACAGGATATTAGCGTATTTTCAGTCTAATACCTGTGGATTCTAGAAGTGCATTTTTCATTTTC